AAAAATTGAGAAATATATAACAATCTTCGTATAATATACAAATAAGCTTTTATTTAATAATAAAGAATATTTGACACAAAGTAACAAATTAAAATTTTTTTTAAATAATCTCAATATAAGTTCAAAATTATCCAAATAACATAGAACGTGGCGCCATCTACGAGGCACATTTTTGATGGCAGTTCAAAATGAGCCAAATAACACAGAACGTGGCGCCACCTACGAGGCACATTTTTGATAGCAGTTCAAAATTAGCCAAACAGCATAGAACGTGGCGCCACCTACGAGGCACAATTTTATTGTACGACAAAATCTACTATACTTCTGTACGTTACTCATTTTCAGCTCAGTTTTTTTCTGTTTAGTATTAAAAAAAAGTATTAGATACTAATAAAATTGAAATCCATAAATAAAAAATAAATATTTCGAAACATAAGATAAAATTTTTGTTTTATTTATTTAATTATTTAAAAGCTTGTAAATTTAAAGCTTCAATTTTTCAATTCAATTCATTTTTTAAAACGTACAACTAAATTTAACATCGATTAAATCTGGTTTTATTGAACTTTATTTTAAATTAAATGAAAAAAGCTCTCTCTCTCTCTTTCTCTCTCTGCTTAGAGTCAATATTATTTAAAGTTTAATGAAATCTCCTCTCAATAATTATTTTCAATATACTGTATATATAAAGAGAAAATGGATCAATTTGAATGAAAATTATTTTACAAGCAAAACTTTTTGAAAGTATATATAAATACCTCTCGAAAAAAATATATTTTAACTTATCAGAAAGTGAAACATAATCGAGATGTAATTAAACGTGTAATATAAACGTTGAGTATTTGCTCAAGCTAACACGCGATATTTCTAGTGGAAGTTCAAATATTAAAAAAAAAGTGGATAAATGAGAAAAGTCAAATTGTTGTTTCAGACGAATAAAATGGAATCGTGGAATCGCTTTCGAGTAGGTATATATTGTAAACTTGTATGCAGTGGCAATTTATACATTTTTTAGTTATTGCAACACGCAAAGCATTTTATTATTTTACACATCGTTGGGAAAAACAAAAAAAAAAATTATTTCATATTTAAATAATATATTATTTGAAAAGTATATATCATATTGAATTTTAAAAAATTGTTTTGAAATTTATTCGAAATTTTAGAAATTCAGTTGAAATTAAAAACAATGTAAAATATTTTCAGTTATTAAATTTTTTTTTTTCTTCACTACACACATATATACATAGCATTTATTTGCCGAGGGAAAATAACAGAAATTACTTAGTGGGGTTTCCGCAAACGAACACCACGAGATAATGTGGATTTTTATCAGAGACATAATAGCGCTTATGCTGCTTACATTTTAATAATTTTTAACGTCCGCTCGCTAGTAGGAAATTTTTGTAAATATTTTCTGCACAGCAAACGTGAGACGGACCCCTTTTTTTCCATATTACTTTTTCTCTTTCGTTATTCTAAAAAAAATTTTTTTTTTAACTGACATTTCTTTCAATTAATACTGGTTTCAAACATTTTATTAACCTTAAATAAAAGCTTTTTTTCAGTAAAAAAAAATAAAATAACATTGAAAAAAATTATTTTATATATATAGAGAGAGAGAATATCTATTTACGCTAAATGAAGTAGTTGTTGATGAAAAAAATATTGAATTGAATGATGAAAAAAAAAAAAAAATTGAATTCTCGTGTTGATTGAATGTTCAGCAAACGAATTCGTTTTATTTGGTAAACATTGAGAAAATTATTTCATTTGGGACTCGTGTGTGTTGCTTGACGCTATGCTATTAATAAAATTGCACGCCGGCTTCCTCTGTCGCGGAAAATGGGCGATGAAATTCATTTAGTTGAGCGATAAAGCGAAAATAATTTCGTCGCGCATTGTTGACGTGAAGGTGAGAGGGGGGGTGGGGGGTGAGGCTCTAATGGTCGAGGTTGGATATGATTTTTTTGCCCCCCCCTCCCTAACCATTCGGCCATGACGCGTGAATTTTCACGTTGTCATGAAACTAGCAATTTTCAACCGACCCGCATACGAAAACCGACCAGCGGATAATTGATATTGATACACGTATACGTTTCTTTAATTTTTAAAATAATTAAAAAAAAAAGTTTATAAAAAAAGTAGAAAAAATAAAATAGAAAATAATAACAGACAATAGAAATTATAAAGGTAGGGGATTACAAATAATTAATTGAATAAGTTTAGAATTATATGACTAGTGCTTTTGAATTAGTTATTCATTCTAACCGTGTGTGGCGCTGTTGCGCTGCGTTTCTGTTGCAAGTGGAACCTCTATATATCCTTTTTCCTTGTTCTTTCTTCTTTACAGTTATCGACACTGATGGAACTTTATAAATTCTATTTGGTAATTGAATTACAATCAGTCAGTGATAGTTCAAACGTGAAAGAATGAAGAAGTCAATTCATATAGTAAACTATTAAAACCAGTTCAACACTTTTATTTAATAATAAAGAATATTTGACACAAAGTAACAACCGATCTATTAAAAAATTTTAGGTTAATTCATAGAATTTTGAAGTCAATTCATAGTAAACTATTAAAACCAGTTCAACAATTTCTTTTTTTAATAATAAAGAATATTTGACACAAAGTAACAACTGATTACAAAATTTTTAAAAAATGTTAATAAAAACATTTAAAAATTGTAAATCATTCAATAAAAAGTTGAGAAAAATTCGATCCTTGGAAGGAATAAAATAACATAAATAATATGTATGTTATTAATATTGTTTATTGTCACAAAACAAGAAACGACGTTTCGATCACTTGGTTCGTCATCATCTTCAGGTTAAATCAATAATTAGTTGAACGATACTGGGCCGGGATTACGACTAGCAATGCTGCTAAGTTGGCAATTATTGCTAGTTAGCAAATATAACTTAACAAAATTTCATGACATTTGTAGGAAATTTATCCCACAATCACATTTTATTGCTATTTGGTAAAAAAAATTAAGTACAAGCTTATACAATAGAAATTAAAATCAAGTTAATCTAAAAAACGAGCAAATTGACACCAAATTTTTGTCAAATTGCTCGGATTGATAGCAGTGATCATGAAAACAATTGAAAGATTTCATGCAACATAACCATTTTCAATTGCTTAATCATATACAGGGTAGCAAGAAAAATGTTAATCATTTATAAGATATTAATTATTATAAGTACAATAAAATAGAGGATTAAATAATAAATAATTAAATGAAAACGTAAAAGAATCAAAATGAAATAATTATTCAATTAAATATATTAAACCATAATAAAAAATAAATTATAAATAATGAAATGTTTCTCGAAAATATTATGATTATTTATTAAATAAAAATAATTATATTACTACTATCATATTACTATCATATTAACAATATTTATGAAATGAAATGTTTAAAGTCTTTTTTTTAATTACTTATAAATCTATGTCTATTAACTTTACTACATATTTGTAAAAAAAATTTTTAAATTGTATTATTTTATTAGTAATGGTAAAAACAATAAAGTGAATTATTTGAATTATTTATATTTAAAAATAAATAAGTCTCTAATGAAAAACCAATAAATTTGTTGTATTTTTCTTTTATTAATCTTAAACGAAAAAATGAAGAAGGCAAAACCAAATTATTATTAAAACTAGCTGTCAAAATTTTATCGAACACCCGGTAGCAATATTTTTTCCCGCGTGAATATAACTGATATTGCCAACTAGCAGTTTGCTAATTTAGCAGTATTGCTTGTCGTAATCTCGGCCCAGGTCTATAAACCTGACGTGCCAGCTTAGACTGAGCAAAATAAAATTTTCTAACGCTAAAATGTAAAGGTTCAACTAATTATTGATTTAACCTGAAGATAATGACGAATCAAGTCATCGAAACGTCGTTTCTTGTTTTGTGACAATAAACAATACATTTTTTATGTTATTTTATTCCTTCCAAGGATCCAATTTTTTCTCAACTTTTTATTAAACATTCCGAAAGGGAAAATCCTTACTCTACAAATATAAATCATTTATTTTATAACCTCGTTTCAATTTAGTTTTTTAATTAAAATTTTGATACAAATTTATTGGTTCGTTTAGAGTAGGAAAAAAAATGAATAAAAATAAATTTATTTAAATATTATTTACATTGAAGGATTTCTATTTCCCTGTTCAGTTCACAGAGGCAAAAATATTGCAAGTTGTTTACGAAAACTGTCAAATGTCAGGCGGATTGAGATCCTATGGCCTGTCATCCTTTTCAGTGTGGAAACGAAAGAATAAGACAGGTCCGACTTTAGAAACGACAGCTCATTTTGCAAAAGGATTCCATCGCTCTTCCTGATATATATATATATATATATATATATATATATATATATAGTAAGAGAGCAATCGCGTCCTTATGTTACCGGATTGCCAGCAGTTTATTTCCGGTGTGTTTGTTACAGTGTTAGAAGTCCTTGGAATCTATATACACGTTGTCTTAGAACACCCTCACCTTCATGATTTATCGTTATCGTCTTTTTTTGTCGATATATATATATTGCCATTTCTCGATCGGGCTCTCATGGATCGAGAAAATGGAAGACCGATAATCTACCTGAACAGAAAATCTCTCCCTCGAGGAAATCGAAGCAGGCTTTCAAAGGTCGGAAGGGCATTGGGCATCTAACGAAGTTTTGAACAAAAGCGGCCAGCGAACGATAGAATGAAATATAAATCAGAGAAAAAGAGAAAATAACGTTTCAACTGTGTATTCTTCAATAGAATTATTCAATTTTCTCTTACATTTTCGTATTAAAAAAAAAAAATTAAGCAATAGAAAAGAAATATTAAATTAAAAAATGGTTCATCGGAGAATTTAAACAAAACTTGATCTTTTTACGTTAATTTAAACTTACCTTTTTAGAAATTTGTAGAATCTTGAAAATTCTGGAAAAAAAAGAAGATTGAAAGATAAAAAAAAAACAAAAAATTGTTTCGATTTTTTAACAATGAAATTTATTGTCTATGTACAAACAGACCGAATCTTGTACAATATCATTGAAAAACTTAGCCATTGATGAAAGATGAAAGGGATGTGAATGCAAAAACGGAGATTTATATACAACTTTCTTGAACACGCAAACTCCTTGTATAAATATCATGGCTACGATGAACCGGAAGTGTTGTCGGCCTTACAGGACTCAATTCTTCCGCTCTCTCTCTATAACCATGGGGAAATATCCAACTTTCCGTTGTTGTTGTCGTTGTTGTCATTCCCGAATCAACAAGATTCATTGATGTTGAATAATCGAAAATTTCCGATTTCTCCAATTGTTTAATTCTCTCCGGTGTTGATGTGTAATTTGGCTGAAAAATATCTGGCCTTCTTTCAACAATTTTATTTGGTATTACATCGGGATCATCATCAGGTGGTTCTGTATCGTGTTGATCCTTATTATTTCTCAATTCAACAATGTTTAAAGAATTTTTTTCCTCACGTCTTGTTGATGATTTTTGAATTGGCGATACTGAATTGTAATCTTCATTATTTGACTCGTAATGAACTATGTGTGTTTGTGTCTTCATGGGTTGCATAAAATGGTTCCGACGATAGAGAGTCAACGTGATACCAACGACTAGAATACAAACGGCAGTTAGCCCGCCGGCAAAACAGGCAACGAGCAAACTGTAGTCGGATGACTCTTCCGATGCTCCACGTCCTGCGAACAAATGAGGAGAATTCTCTTTAGAGATGAGAGGGGAAAATGTTATGTATACTTGGCAAAACTTTAGCGCCATTAAAGCTTAAAAATAAATTCATTTCAATTCACAATTTTTGTGAAATAAAAAAAAAAAAAATTATCTTCGAGAATTTTTTATAATATAATAAAATATAGAAAGTTTTCTGAAACTATATATTATGACTTTTCCTAACGGAAGCAATTTTCCACTGATATCCACAAAGTGAAAAGATTTCACTGACTCCTATAGGTAAGGGTTTAAGGTCATCCAAACTGGGTATAAGAAAAAGGTCCGGAAACGGTAAAGCGCTCCAAGGATAAAAAGTCCAAGTCAAACAGAGAAAACTTTCTCGAATTGTAAAGAGCGTAAGAAAGTGCAGAAAAATGAAGATCGCGGTTGGAACTGAAAAAAAAAAGAAACCAACTTCTCCATTTTAAATATCATTCTTCAAACTTTATACATCTACATTCTCGACTATACTATAGTTCACAAAACAAAAATATGAATAAATCAAGATTCTTTCGATAAATAAATGCTACCTAACTTCATTTAACTGACTAGGTCCAATTCTGTTTTGTGGATTTAAGGAATGTCCGTGACAATTTTTTTTTTTTTTCTATGAAATCCAGAGACGGTATAATATCTGAAACGTGTCCGGTAACCGAATTCGGTTTCTCCGCTTTTGTTATTGGATCCTGGATATAAAACACAGGGTTCCGGAAGCAAAGATTAAGAGGGACGATCCACAAAACGTTGATGGGCAGACGTTCAACTTTCCGAATTTGGAATTCAGAAAACGCGTCGGTTCGTTAGCAAGGGGTCTTGATATATCCGAGAGAGAGAAAGAGAAAATGGACAGACGTACGGACGTGCGGTTGTCCCCAAAACTCGCTTGTTCATCCCCAAATTCTTTCCTTCCTCAAACCCCTCCCTTGTCACCTTCTTCTACAAAAAGGTATACATATATATTTATATATATATATATATATATATATTCGCATTGAAGAGAGAAAGCCTGCAACCTCATCCTGGATGCTCTTCGCCACCCCCGCGTCTCTTCACGTACTCACCTTTTCATGTATGAGCATCCACACACTGCAAATGGAGAAATTCACATACAAACCGATTCTTGTGGTGTGTCATGAATAATCCATGAGGATGGAAATTAAAGACGATAAATGCGCACCGAATGAGACAGCCGCCTGCGCGAGGAAAGGGACCACCGGCTTTATGGGATTTTAATTCAGAGTCCGCTGGAAAAGCTTTTCGAGTGTATGGAAGAATAAGAGTGAAGCTGATCGAGATATAGAACATTGAATATGTATTCAAAAATTTGAGGAAGAAATTAATCGGGAGTTAAAAATTAACTCTAAAAGTGAATTAACATTAAATACCTTATTAACTCCTTATAAAATTAACTCTTAGCTACAACTTCAAAACAGTTGGATTTTTATGAATTTTTGGAGATAAATTTTAACTTCTTTTTTTGTAGTTTACCTATATGGTAAATCCCTCTCAAAATCCGCAGAAACATACAAGAGAGAGGGAGAGAGAGAGAGAGAGAAGGAAAGAGGCGTCTTGTGCAACGGCGTCACTGGCTCATTAAGCTCCCTCACTCATTCTCATTTGGGTAATTAATCATAATATAAAAGACCCATTGTGGCCAAGCAACCGAACAACTCTCGAGATGTCTGTTATATAGAACCTTAATGTGTTGGTAATGTCTTAATATTCAACCTTCCATTGGCATACACGTGCGCACAATTATAAATCCTATTATAAATGAATAATTAAACGATCCAATATAATTTTTATATATATACAAAATGTGTTATGAAAAATAACCATTTAGAGAAATTTCTAGGAATATTTACCGTGCTGCCACCTGAAAATGAGTGCAAAGTACATTATGGCAGTTTTTACTGTGCTGCCTCTACAATTTTGCATTACAGAAGGCAGCACAGTAAAAACTGACAGAATGTACTTTGCACTCACTTTAAGGTGGCAGCACGGTAAATATTCCTACAAATTTCTCTCCATGTATCCTAATTGACCTAATTTTGAGGTTATGTTAGCCGATTTTTTCCCGGAACATAACATAACCTAATTCAAAGCTAAAATACGAACATAACCTTAAAAATTCAGGGGGGAAGCTTTCCTACAGTATATATATATATATATATATATATATATATATATATATATATATATATATATATATATATATATATATATAAATAAAATGATGGATGATACGAAAATATATAACTTTTTTATTAATAAATTTAATACGAGATTTCTTACAATCGTGAAAGGAAAGAACTTCCGTTTCTTTTCGTTATTTTTATGTACGACACAGAACGAGGAAAAAACACCACACCTTTTTAAGATAAATTGATTCTTCGTTGGAAAAAAAAAAGTAGGTTGAACCATCATACATCATATATGATTTTTACTCGACAGGAAAAGAATTTTCCTCATAGAATCCGTCTTATTTTCCATGAACGGGAATAAAAAAAATAATTCTCTGCTTTTGCTAAATGTTAAACGAATAATAAATATATAATTTACTTATTAAGTATTAATTAGAATATTTTTTAAATTAATTAAAAAAATATTTTTTTCTTTTTTTTAAAAATTCTCTAATAATTTCTGACATTTACATTCTAGACTAATCAGAAACTAAATTGATGTAATGTGAACATAAACGGTTACAGGGAATGCATTATGCAATTATTGCAAATCAAGCGGCAAACAGGTTATTGCATCTCATTAGCAGATAACACTTGCTCATATCAATTGTTCTGAATTACTTTTTTCCACCTTTTTGTTTTTATTCTTTCTGATTTTTAACTATTTTCTTAATTTGAATTAGTAACGACAAAAAATTACAAAATCAATATTCAGCAAAATAAGTATTAGTAAAAAAAAAAAAATTAATAATAATTCATAAAAGAATATGCCATTGTTCAACAATAATAATTTTTGTTACATTATTACAAAAATGAAAGAGATTAAACTCTAGACGAATGCTGATCGCCCGAATAACGCCAAAGTAACTGTTGCCATAGTAACTTTTGCCATAGTAACCAACTTTTGCCAAAGTAACTGTAGCCATAGTAAACAGTAACTTTTGCCATAGTAACTGTTGCCATAATAACTTTTGCCATAGTAACTAACTTTTGTCAAAGTAACTGTAGCCATAGTAACTTTTGCCACAGTAACTTTTGCCACAGTAACTTTTGCCATAGTAACTAACTTTTGCCAAAGTAACTGTAGCCATAGTAACTTTTGCCACAGTAACTTTTGCCACAGTAACTTTTGCCATAGTAACTAACTTTTGCCAAAGTAACTGTAGCCATAGTAACTTTTGCCACAGTAACTTTTGCCAAAGTAACTGTAGCCATAGTAACTTTTGCCCAAGTAACTGTAGCCATAGTAACTTTTGCCATTGTAACTAACTGTTTCCATAGTTACTTTTGCAACAGTAACTTTTGCCATAGTAACTTTTGCCACAGTAACTTTTGCCATAGTAACTAACTTTTGCCAAAGTAACTGTAGCCATAGTAACTTTTGCCACAGTAACTTTTGCCAAAGTAACTGTAGCCATAGTAACTTTTGCCCAAGTAACTGTAGCCATAGTAACTTTTGCCATTGTAACTAACTGTTTCCATAGTTACTTTTGCAACAGTAACTTTTGCCATAGTAACTTTTGCCACAGTAACTTTTGCCATAGTAACTAACTTTTGCCAAAGTAACTGTAGCCATAGTAACTTTTGCCACAGTAACTTTTGCCATTGTAACTAACTGTTTCCATAGTTACTTTTGCCACAGTAACTTTTGCCGTAGTAACTTTTGCGATAGTAACTAACTTTTGCTAAAGTAACTGTTGTCATAGTAACTTTTGACATAGTAAGTAACTGTTGCAATAGTAACAGTTGCCATAGTAACTTTTGCCATAGTAACAGTTGCCATAGTAACCTAACCCGTATAGCATGAGACCTATCATTGACTGACGCGAAATGGCGCGAAATTAATTCAAATTCAAATTTTTATATTTATCGATACAATTAAATATGAAATTTACAAATTCAGAATAAATAATTTACAAAGTTTTTGAAATTATTATTTTCAATTTCTGTGAATTAAATAATATAATTTTTTTTACTAATATAAATTTATAAATCATACTTACCAGTGGTGTACATTGCGACTCCCTTTAATGTGACTGGTTCAAGGATAACAGGATCACTGCGCCCTTTGGCATTGACAGCATAAATTAAAAGCCTATAATTTCTGCCTGGCTCCAATCCAGAAATCTCGAAAATTGGTCCAGGATAACCTGCAGTGCGATTTATGTAAATCGTGTTCATATGCTCATCATTATCTTCACTAAATACTTCCAGTTCAAAACTAGTCAACGGTAATCCACCATCAAAACCCTCATTACATCTCACGATTAACCAGTCAACTTCTCTTGAATCCTGAGTCTTAAACTCGTCATGCCCTGTCGCAAAATAATTATACATTCATGTTATCGTTAACAATAAAATTCTAAATAATAATTGAAATATTCATTTTAATTATTTTTTTACTATTATTTACAAAAAAAAAAAAGAAAAATGGGAAATTGGAGTTTTCTTCTTATAAGTAGTAAAAGTCAACGACAGTCAGACAAATACTAATTTTCTCACCCCATCGGTTTGGATCAATATATTTCAAAACATATTTGTTAGTGGGTAAAAGACGTTAATAGTCAGACAAGAATCAGCAAAGACAAATCAACCCCCCATTGAAATATATAACACCCTCGCCTACGGAAGACAGGGGTAAACTTGATGTGAATCTAAACGATAAAAGATATAACAAACGGGGGAAGGACAATGGAACATGATGTGGTTTTGATAATAATAATTATAATAATAATAATAATAATAATAATATAGGATATGGGGAAAAAATTATTTTTTAATCCCTTACCCATTCGAAATGCATAGGGTCCTGTTGACTGAAGGGCCGAACAATTTTGTAATGTATATGGCTTTCCAGCGACAATTATTTGAAAGAGACACGGTGTCTTTTGAACACCAATACGATTTTTTGCCCAGCACGTAACTGTCCCATAGTCCATGTCATTTGCAGGTGTATAATTTAATCTTGAGCCATGCCAATTATTTGTAATCAATCGCAATGACTTCACCTGTGTATATCGCGTTGGTGGTACATTCATCATTTCACCAGAATTATTAAAAGTCCAATGAAATGTTAATGGCGGTGGTTTTGATTGTACGCCACAAACCAATGAGATTGTCTCATGTTTCAATGCACCCACAACTTGCGTTGATGATCCATCTTTGCATATTGGTGAATCTTTAATTTAAAAAAAAAAAAAGAAAAAAAAACATTACTATTTTCTTCTATAAAAAAAGTCTTTATTGTTACAATTAGATTATATTATTTAAATATAATTATAGTATATGAATTATTTCAAAATAAGCGCGCTGTATTTTATGCGCATTTGATCTGCGCATCGTGATTAAGGCTTTTGAGGTTATGTCAACTTTTGTTGCTTTATTAAAATGAAATTTCTAATCGTAAATGTTAAGCTTTTACATAAGAGAGAAAAGGACAAATGATATAACTGTTGCCATAATAACTTTTGCCATAGTAACTAACTTTTGCCAAAGTAACTAATGCCACAGTAACTAATGCCACAGTAACTAATGCCACAGTAACTAATGCCACAGTAACTAATGCCACAGTAACTAATGCCACAGTAACTAATGCCACAGTAACTAATGCCACAGTAACTAATGCCACAGTAACTAATGCCACAGTAACTAATGCCACAGTAACTAATGCCACAGTAACTAATGCCACAGTAACTAATGCCACAGTAACTAATGCCACAGTAACTAATGCCACAGTAACTAATGCCACAGTAACTAATGCCACAGTAACTAATGCCACAGTAACTAATGCCACAGTAACTAATGCCATAGTAACTAATGCCATAGTAACTAATGCCATAGTAACTAACTTTTGCCAAAGTAACTGTAGCCATAGTAACTTTTGCCACAGTAACTGTTGCCATAGTAACTAACTGTTACCATAGTAACTTTTGCCATAGTAACTTTTGCCATATTAACTTTTGCCACAGTAACTTTTGCCATAATAACTATGGCCATAGTAACTGTTGCCATAGTAACTAACTGTTACCATAGTAACTTTTGCCATAATAACTTTTGCAATTGTAACTAACTTTTGCCAAAGTAACTGTAGCCGTAGTAACTTTTGCCACAGTAACTGTTGCCATAGTAACTAACTGTTACCATAGTAACTTTTGCCATAGTAACTTTTGCCATAGTAACTTTTGCCACAGTAACTGTTGCCATAGTAACTAACTGTTACCATAGTAACTTTTGCCATAGTAACTTTTGCCATAGTAACTTTTGCCACAGTAACTGTTGCCATAGTAACTAACTGTTACCATAGTAACTGATGCCATAATAACTTTTGCCATTGTAACTAACTTTTGCCAAAGTAACTGTAGCCATAGTAACTTTTGACATAGTAACTAACTTTTGCCAAAGTAACTGTTGCCATAGTAACTTTTGACATAGTAAGTAACTGTTGCCATGGAAACGGTTACCATATATGACGGACGGACGGACGGACGGACGGACGCCAAGGCGAATAAAGCCATTAAGCTTTAGGCCCTGGGCCACGAAACCCTAAAAGACTTACCAATAATATCTTCCTATAGGGTATATTTTTATTTATTTTTTTTTTTTTTTAAAGAGGGCAACATTTAACGAGTTACAAAAAGTAACTCAATAGTCCCAAGCGGAAAGTTTAGGAGATAATAGCGTCATTGATCCAGAAATACAATCCAATATCAGAGAACCGATATTGATTGTAAACGCAAAGCATTGGAAGCACATTTCCGCTTGGGATTTCGATAGTCCCTGTGTAATTTCTATAATGTCGGTGGTTGTATTAATCATGGGCGACGAGGTAGTGTGAGGGGGGATGAGATTTTGGTATTGATTTTGAACTCACACATCACTTCCAGTGTGACGGGTCGGCTCGTTGCTTTTCCTTCTGTGTTCGCTGCCATACACGAATATTCACCGGCCGAACTCTTTGTCACGCTTTGAAGAACGAGAGATTGTCCCCCAGGTAGTACAATACCGGCGGTGATATTTTGATGAAGCTCTTTGCCATCCTTATACCAGCCAAGTTTATAGGCCTTTGGATTGGCCTTGACGTCACATTCAAAGTAAACATCGTCACCCTCATTTATGTCGTTCGCTTGTAAACTTGAACCTAGTCGAATTGTCACCACTGGTACATCTAATCAAATTTTTATAATTAAAATTTTTTTTTTTTATAATTAAATTTTATTTGAAAAATTAAAAAACATGAGAACGAAATACACTATCCATGCAATTATTAAAGAGTTTTTTTTTTTTTTTTTTTTTGTGGACAAAAATGAATTTCATCCGCATCAGATTTTCACTGAATGGTACTCACACTCCTTGAAATTTAATAGAAGATCGTTGGATTTCTCAATGGTATATGGCTATCGATAGAGACATTGAGAACAAACCACTTGTATTTTCAATAGATTTTTTTTTATTTTTTGCAAGAATTTGTTAAATGAATAGTGCATTTAAAATGTACCCAACTCAAAGGAGAATCATTTTATAAATCATTATTATACACAAATATATTCCCGTGTATAATTTATAATATATTAAAGCTTTTAAACCCGTGCGCAATTTAAATATAACTAAGTTTACGAGAAAACATTTCGAGTCAGTTTATGAAGACAGTAAATTACGAAATGTAAATGTTATAATAGCAAAATACTGCGATGTAAAAACAAATTAGAGAAAATAAATTTAATAAAAAATATATATTTTTTAATTATATTAAAATATTAATAAAAAAAAAAAATATATATATATATATATTAAATATATTTTAAATATTTGTTAAAGTAATTAATTAATTTTTTTAATTTTGTAAACAATTTTAAATATTTATTTATTTATTTATTTAAATATACTATTAAAAATAAATTAATATTTTTGCTTACAATGAATAACAAGAAGCCATTTATCCTCAAGGGCGCTGTCAGGTATAACATTATTCTCAGCACGACATGTTAAAAATTTGCCATTATCTTCAATAGTTGGAACATAGCTCAAAACACTTCTTGATATATTTACATTTTCTGCAAACTACAAAGAAGTCAGTGTGACATGAAAAAAAAAATTGTTATAATCAAATATTTTATTAAAATTTAAAAATGGGGAGAGATATTCACATTTCTTGCCATGTGCTTCACGTGATTATTGCCCTTCCACCACGTGATTGTTGCCTTTGGCCGTGAGCCCAAACTTTTACATTCAATCTCATAGGTCCGTAAGGCCGACAAATGGGGAGTTTTATTTGTTATGTTCACCATCAACGGCTTAACTACAGAAATTAACAAAAAAGTAACGAAAATTTTAATTACTCTTAAAATTGCATTCCCTTGGGTTAAAAATTATCATTTTTCTCCCTAGTAGAGAAAAAATATAAAAAAAAACTTCCATAGGGTTAAAAATAACCTATTTTCTCCCTAGTAGTGAAAAAAATTTAAAAAAAACGTCCCTAGAATTAAAAATAACACTTCCTTAGAGTTAAAAATTATTTTTTTTCTCCCTAATAGTGAAAGAAACTAAAAAAACTTCCCTAGAGTTAAAAATAACACTTCCTTAGGGATAAAAATAATCATTATTCTCCCTAGTAGTACAAATTTTTTTTTAAAAATTCCCTAAGGGTTAAAAAACACTGTCATAGGATTAAAAATAACTTTTTTTCCCTAGTAATGAAAAAAATTTAAAAAAACTTCCCTAGGGTTGAAATCAACACTTCCTTAGGGTTAAAAATAATTTTTTTTCTCCCTAATAGTGAAAGAAATGTTAAAAAATTTCCGTAGGCTTGTAAATAACAATTCCTTAGGGATAAAAATAATCATTTTTCTCCCTAGTAGTAGAAAAAATTAAAACAAAACTTCCCTACGGTTAAGAAAACACTGCTATAGGTTTAAAAATAGTTATTTTTCTCCCTAGTAGTGTAAAAATTTTAAAAAAACGTCTCGCGGGTTAAAAATAACACTTCTTTAGGGATAAAAATAATCATTTTTCTCCCTAGTAGTGTAAAAAAATTTAAAAAAACTTCCCTAGGGTTAAAAATAATCTTTTTTCTCCCTAGTAGTGTAAAAAAAAATTTAAAGAACGTGGCTAGGATGAAAAATAACATTTCGTTAGAGTGAAAAATAATTTTTCATTATTATTAATAATACTAGTGAATACGTACTAGTGAAAGAAATATAAAAAAAACTTTCCTACGGTTAAAAATAACACTTCCTTAGGGATAGAAATAATCATTTTTCTTCCTAGTAGTAGAAAGAATTTTTAAAAATTTTCCCTAAGATTAAGAAAACACTGCCATAGGTTTAAAAATAGTTATTTTTTTCCCTAGTAGTGAAAAATTTTTTTAAAAAAACGTCCCTTGGGTTAAAAATAACACTTCCTTAGGGGTATAAATAATCATTTTTCTCTCTAGTAGTGTAGAAAAAATTTTAAAAAAACTTCCCTAGGGTTAAAAATCACCTATTTTCTCCCTAGTAGTAGAAAAAATTTTAAAAAAACTTCCCTTGGGTTAAGAAAACACTGTCATAGTGTTAAAAATAACTTATTTTCTCTCTAGTAGTGAAAAAAATTTTTAAAAAAACTTCTCCAAGGTTAAAAACAATTATTTTTTTTTCTAGTATTGAAATAAATTTTAAGAAAAGTTTCCTAGGAATTTTTTTTTTCTTCTTCTTTGAAAATGAAAATCGTACTCACGATTAACTGTTAAAATAATTTCCGTCGCCGTTGGCTTGGTGAGATGGCTATTGTGTGCTTTGCAGATAAGTCGAGCGCGTTGAAAATCTCTTGTGACTTTTTGAATGTCCAAACGATTTACAGTTGTTTCGCCCACTTCTGATTTGTAACTATCATCGAGTATTTTGTTCTCCAAGTACCAAACAACATGGGGTGGAGGCTTTCCACCAGTGACTTTGCAGACTAGAGACAGCTTACTGTCCTCGTTGAAAGGATGCAATATGTTGGCCAAGTTTCCTGAACTCGTATAGATCAACGGTGCCTCGGGTGGTACTAATTACAAGAAGGAGAAATTTCGACTAAAGAAACTTTTCTTTGCTCGTTTGTTATTTGCAAGAGACATTAACTTACATAAAAGATAGTTACGTAACTCTCTCTTTCTTTCTCTCTTTCTCTCTTTCTTTATTTCTTTCTATCTTACTCTACAGTTTTAAATCTAGCACAAAAATCTTTTGCACTTTTAACACTCTCTTGATGATAAGTCTCCCGAAAAAGGGCCAAAAAAAAAAAAAACTTCTATTTTTTATGACATTTTATAACTTTTGCTTCCTTGTGGATGAAGGTTTTTTTGAATTATGCTCAGTCATAATTTAAAGATGCTATAATTTTAAAGAAACTAGGATCAATTTTAATGTTTCTCAATTTAAAAAAAAAAGAAAAAAAAAAGTTAGAAGACAGTTAGTAATAAAGATCAATTAAATCTATTTTCAGTATAGTGGAAGTCGATCATTGTCAGTAGACTAATGCAATAAACAATTTTATGAGTTTCCTGATGCACTTTTTTTTTTCCTCATTTGGTAATTTGAAAAGGCTTTTAAATTCAATTGTCAGTAGTAAAAGCCAACTCTGGTCGGACAATTCGATAGTACTAAAAGCCGATAAAATGCAGACACAAGGGTAATAAACAATTTCTTTATCAGTAAAAAATTTAGAAATCAATTTTTTGGGGAGTAGAAAATATTCTGACAAATAACAAGAAAATAAAAAAAAAAATAAATAAATAAAATTTACTCAAAATTATCTTACCAATGACAGTGAAATTAATTTTATGATTTTTCGTTGGCTTATTACGAAAATCAACACGACATGTGTAAAATCCTTCGTCCTCAGGTAAAACTGGATTAATTTCTAAATATGCTGGCTTAGTATTGGTTCGCATTTTTGCTCTGTTGCCAAAATTTTTTTGATTCGACCATAATTTTGCCTCAGTGATTAATGTTGAACGTGCATCAACACTGTAGATGGGCTCGCCACCATTTTCATTTTTATACCAAAAAACCATAAAAGCCATCTCGTTTCCTTTCTTGGATGTGAGATCACATGGTAATTTCGCTGAGTGTTCAGAAACTGCCACCACATCCAGTGTCGGTACTAAAACAAATTAAAGGAAGTGCATCTTAATAAGAATCTCACAAAATGCATTTCTAAGATTATCAAGATGCTTTCAACAACCACGAAACTTTTAAGAGAACGAGTTCAATTATCTTATTTTTTTTTTTTAAGTGTATAACTGAGTGTGCAATGCCGTTTTTATTTTGTGATTCTGGAAGAAAATTGTTTTCATTCACAAAATATATGTGTATAAGTTTTTATGAGATGGCTCTTAAAAATATAAGATGGTTTTTTTTTTAATTTTAAAAGTTTTTTTTTACATGCCACAGACAAATTAATTGGTAATTGAACTTCCTTAGGGTTGAAAAAAAATCATTTTTCACCATAGTAGTGAAAAAAATTTTAAAAAAACTTCTCTAGGGTTAAAACATTGACATAGGATTAAAAATAACCTTTTTTCTCCCTAGTAGTAGAAAAAATTTTAAATAAACTACCCTAGAGTTAAAAATAATCATTTTTCTCCCTAGTAGTGAAAAAATATTTAAAAAAACTTGAGTAGGGTTAAAAGTAATCATTTTTCTCCCTAGTAGTAGAAAAAAAAATCCCTGAGGTTAAGAAACATTGTCGTAGGGTTAAAAATAACCTATTTTCTCCCTAGTAGTGAAAAAAACTTTTTAAAAAACGTCTCTAGAATTAAAAATAACACTTTCTTAGAGTTAAAAATAATCATATTTCTCTCTAGTAGTAAAAAAATTTAAAAAAACTTCCCTAGGGTTAAAAATAATCATTTTCCTCCCTAGTAGTGTAAAAAAATTAAAAAAAAACGTCGCTAGGATTAAAAATAACACTTCGTTAGAGTTAAAAATAATTTTTATTATTATTAATAATACTATTGAATACCTATTAGTGAAAAAAATTATAAAAAACTTTCCTACGGTTAAAAATAACCTTTTTTCTCCCTAGCATAAGAAAAAATTAAAAAAAAAACGTCTCTAGGATTAAAAATAATACTTCGTTAGAGTTAAAAATAATTTTTTCTCCTCAGTTTTAAAGGAAATTTAAAAAAAAATCCCTAGGCTTAAAAATAACACTTTCTTAGAGATAGAAATAAACATTTTTCTCCCTAGTAGTAGACCAAATTTTTAAAAAACTTTCCTGGGGTTAAGAAAACACTGTCACAGGGTTAAAAATAACCTATTTTGTCCCTAGTAGTGAAAAAACTTTTACAAAACGTCCCTATAATTAAAAATAACATTTCCTTGGAGTTAAAAATAATTTTTTTTCTCCCTAATAGTGAAAGAAACTAGGAAAACTTTCCTACGGTTAAAAATAACCTTTTTTCTCCCTAGCATAAGAAAAAATTTTTAAAAAACTTCCCTAGGGTTAAAAATAACCTATTTTTTTCCTAGTAGTGAAAAAAATTTTTAAAAAACGTCCCTGTAATTAAAAATAACACTTCCTTAGAGTTAAAATATTTTTTTCTCCTCAGTATTAAAGGAAATTTAAAAAAAAATTCCCTAAGCTTAAAAATAACACTTCCTTAGAGATAGAAATAAACATTTTTCTCCCTAGTAGTCGACAAAATTTTTAAAAAACTTCCCTGGGGTTAAGAAAACACTGTCACAGGGTTAAAAATAACCTATTTTCTCCCTAGTAGTGAAAAAACTTTTACAAAACGTCCCTATAATTAAAAATAACACGTCCTTGGAGTTAAAAATAATTTTTTTTCTCCCTAATAGTGAAAGAAACTAGGAAAACTTCCCTATGGTTAAAAATAACACTCCCTTAAAGATAGAAATAATCATATTTCTCCCTAGTAGTAGAAAAATTTTTAAAAAAATTCCCTAGGGTTAAGAAAACATTGTCATAGGATTAAAAATAACCTTTTTCCTCCCTAGTAGTGAAAAAAATCTAAAGAAAAATCTTCCCTAGGGAAAAAATCAACACTTCCCTAGGGTTAAAAATAATAATTTTTCTCCTTAGTAGTGAAGAAATTAAAAAAAACGTCCGTAGGCTTAAAAATAACACTTCCTTAGGGATAGAAATAATCATTTTTCTCCCTAGTATAAAAAATTAAAGAAATCTTCCCTAGGGTTTTAAATAACACTTCCGTAGGATTAAAAATAATCATTTTTCTTTCTAGTAATAGGAAAAATTTTTGAAAAAAACTTCCCTAGGGTTAGAAAGAAATAATTTTTTCCCTAGCAGTGAAAAAAATCACTTTTCAGTAGTACTAATCAGATAAAAGTTTCTTAAGATAAAATTTTTGTTTTGTATTTTTTTTTTTATTCACCGTTAAAGAGAAAATGATTCGAAAAAAAGAGAGACACCAGATATAATTAATCTCAAATGGCTTGGGAGTGATTAATTCTTATTTCGAAATAGTCCTCCGGTTGGTCGTTGCATCTAAGGTTCTTGTAAAAAAAAAAAAAAAAAAAAAGAAAAAAGGAGTGGATTTTAGTTTGGAGAATGATAGCGCGCAGCGAATGGCTGCTAGGGATCACGAACGATTGATGACAGCCAATAAAATCGAGACGTCGTTACCCTATACTTGCGCGATCATGGCCAAAGCTCGAGAGAAGTAAAGTGATTGCATTGAAAGCTTTTAGGTGACTATACATAGATAACGACCATTCTTATCGTGTTCCTTATCATATCCAATGTAGATTACAAAATCCACTGCGCATTGTTGATGCAATTTTTTTTTTTTTTAAATTGTTCCGCATATTTTAAAATTCATACATTTTTTTTTTTTTTTTTGCTTGCACAAGATGATGATATTTAAATTCTGTCATGTCCCTTTATAGTACTAAATGCGCACTTGCTACAAGATTTCTTAATGAGTGTCCTGAGACAGGAGATGGAACTTTCAAATGCGCTAGATCCTTTTCTTGAACACTTGCCACTTTACATAAGCTCTTTTGTTCATGGATAACCACATCTCTCGTGACACTATTATTTATCATGGTTATTAGATAAAAATGCCTACTTTTAAAAAATTGCAAATACTTTCACTAAATTATATATATATTTAATAAGATAAGTCTCATAAAAAAAAAAAAAAGAAAATTTATTCAAAATTTTTTTTCTTCATATATATTGAAAAATAGCAATCGATGAATTTATCGCATTTCCATTATGTTTGTCAGGTAATAGCTGTATGCATATACAATTCGATTTGAAGAGCTTTTATAGAATTAGGTTGAAATGGTGTATAGTTGATGGTGATATCTAACTGTATTTATGTACAGAAGCTTTTTGTGCAATGGCAGACGTTATAAATTTCATTGATGGCAATAGTGATGTTAATAATCCGACGTAATTAATGTGTCGCTCGAAAATTTACGCTCGAACGAAGCCGAGAGTCATTATAGTGCGATGGAGGAAGAGAGGGAAGAGTGAAGAATGCTCGACCTGGCTTTAAGCGTTTCACTCGTATGTTTATTCGTATACATATATGGTATATATATATATATATATATATTTACCAGTAATTGTGTGTTTTCATGACAGGTGACACTAATGGTGAAAGAGGTTTTAGACTATTGAAAAAACATCTTTTTCTTTAAAATGAACTTTCTTTCAATATCGGGGGGTCTATTATGTAACTTCAATTCTCCTTCACTTCATATTTACTTTACTTTCACTTTCACTTTCACTTCACTTTCACTTCACTTTCACTTCACTTTCACTTCACTTTCACTTCACTTTCACTTCACTTTCACTTCACTTTCACTTCACTTTCACTTCACTTTCACTTCACTTTCACTTCACTTTCACTTCACTTTCACTTCACTTTCACTTCACTTTCACTTCACTTTCACTTCACTTTCACTTCACTTTCACTTCACTTTCACTTCACTTTCACTTCACTTTCACTTCACTTTCACTTCACTTTCACTTCACTTTCACTTCACTTTCACTTCACTTTCACTTTCACTTCACTTTCACTTCACTTTCACTTCACTTTCACTTCACTTTCACTACACTTTCATTTCGCTTTCACTTCCACTTTATATAGTGAAAATGAAGTGAAAGTACAATGAAAGTGTAGTGTAAGCGAAGTGAAAGTGAAGTGAAACTAGAGTGAGATCGAAATGAAAGTGAGGTGAAAGTAGAATGAAAGCGGAGTGAAACTAGAGTGAAAGCGAAATAAAAATAAAGTGAAAGTGAATTGAAAGTGTAGTGAAAGTGTAGTGAAAGTGTAGTGAAAGTGTAGTGAAAGTGTAGTGAAAGTGTAGTGAAAGTGAAGTGAAAGTGAATTATTAACTAAAATACAAAAAATAATTATATTATTGTTACATGAGAAAATTTGTGAGAATTTATATACAATTTAAAGGACGTTTTTCATCTTCAAATATGTAAGCTTTGCGAGAATAATTAAAGCTTTGAGTCATTATGTATATAATACTAATTTAGATTTACATTTTCCATTAGAGTACTCTATTTTCATGAGGTAGGTATATACATACATACATATATATATATATATATATATATATGTATATATATATATATATGTATATATATACATTAGAATGTATACACTTGTGGATAACTATCGAAATGATGTTTATTTTTGTTTTCGTATACCCATCTACATATAGAGTTAAAGTGAATCTAACGTGAGACGCAAGTTTTTAAATAAAACTTGCAATCGATATTATACGCACGAATATAAAACTAATGTTTATTCTAAATAAACAATTAATTTTTTTAAGCGCAAATAAAATATCCGTATCATTATTTTTTTCTAATTAGACCATTCGAGATCCAGTGTAAATTTAGTTTAACTTATTATTAATTTAATATTTAATAAAAACAATTTTCAGTAAAAAATTTTATAATAGTCAGGCACAAAAATTTTTGCCGAAAATTCAGTTTAGAAGGTCAATTATTATTCTTTGTAAAAGAGAATAAAACATTTTACAGTAGAAAATTCTTTAGCAGTCAGACAAAGAAAGTTTGTTAAAAAAAAAAAGATATTCAGTGGAAAATTCAATAACAGCCAGACAAAGTACTTCTTATTATTAGGAACA